CGATATTATACGCGCGTCTATATCGCGATACGCGCGCTGCTTCATATATCGCGCGTCTTATTATATAAAAACAAAAGCAGCACGAGATATATATAGTGTTAACGTTAATATAAAAGGATATCATTCACTCGGATTTTCAATTCTCTGCTTATAACGATTGTGCATGCGGCGATCTGCAAAAGCGTTTTATAAACGAGTTTTCTTCCAATACCATATAGAGGATAGCGCTATAACGCGCGCGCGAGCGCAGCTTCATTTTCATTTAGTTATAATTAGGAAAACTTTCACAATTATACTTTTAAGGCGCGATTAAGGCTACTTATAAATTTGCAGCGCGCGGCACTTAATGATCATCGCGTTGAAAAGTTTTCGCCGAATCTAGCGAGTATGTAATTCATGCAACCGATAAAATTGTGCGATTTCATTACGAAACGACGAAAAGTCGTGGCTTATTATTGTTGAAGAAAAAAATATTGTCATTCCACGGTTACATCAGTCGCAAATCGCATGTATAATATAAAAATATGCGCGTGCCTAAGTTATTCGCTCGTTTATGATACGCATGTATAATACGGGCATGTGTGCGCAAGACTGCAGCAGCGGTAGACATTACCACGATCATCGTTTCCCTAGAGCAGGAAGCAGCAATTGCACATACAAGCGTGTATGTAAGCCAGCCATTTATCATTAAACGCTCGATTTATTATATCAAGCTAGTGTATGATTTTTACTTCAACACGAATCGTCCGCGTGTATTATACATATTGCGTTGTATTTACTGTTTATATAGCGAGCACCACAACGTGTAAAATATAATCATCGAGAAATATGATCGAGAGAGAGAGAGAGAGAGAGAGAGAGAGAGAAAGAGAAAAAAAACGTTATAATTACGCGTTTTTTCTTTATCTTATGCATCTGCGATAATGAATCGTTTATAATACGTCCGTGTGCGCCCGAAGCGAAAGGTTTCTAAGAAAAATGTTGCGCAGTGCAAAACATCTTGCGAGAGAGAGAGAAATCGCGAGGATTCGTGAGCCGATCTTAGGTACGAATGAGCCAAATAAACGAAAACGTATATCTTTAATTGACTCGTGTGTGTATTTTTAATCGTTGATGACTTTTGATGAAAATTCCAACATTCTTTATCCATGATGAGTTTGATTGTAAATGCCAAGTACATGCCAGATACCGATCCGAGAATATGTAATAGATCGACACGAACGTGGCTTACGTACACCGACGAAAATCGCCCAATGGCTCGGAATAATGGCAACGAGTCATAATACATGCCTCGATCTTTGTTGCGATTCATTTTTTTGGGGGTAAAAAGAAAGGGATAGGTCGATCGAGGCGCCCCGAGACTCCTTCTTTTATATATGCGCTGCTGCAGACATTCATAGAGCAAAGAGCGAGCAGCACAGAGTTCAATGAAATGGAAAACTTTTACGGCTAATTTATGCCCATAGCGTATTGCGCTTGGCATATTATAATACTCTCACGCGAGCACTCAAGCTGTTCCGTATACATTTGATGCAGCTTCGAATTATATAGATGACCTCTGAGTTACGTGCAAATCGAAAATTTCAATTGCGACGGATGAACTTCAAAGACGAAAAAAAATTATCTATTGTTGCTGCGTAGTCTTGGCGATACTAGTAAATATTGATAAAAATCAAGTAGACTCTGGTCTATAATTTTAAAACAAAGTGTTTGACGCAACACGAGTTTTTTGGAGAGATGGGACAAATTAAGCAGCAGTTTGTAATAAATACATGATCGGATTTGAGCGAATTTGAATATTTCCAATCGGAACATAAAATTCTAGTACAACTCATTAATTACATGAATCGATGACGGAAGCTGTTTATTGCACACGTCGTTCAGATCGCAGTCTAAAAAAATTCCTACGCGAGCTTTCGACTATTTCGATAAACGATCCCAGTGATACAAGCAAGTGCAATGCATAATGCACGAAAATAAACGACAGATAAGGGCGTTTTTATTCACGGCGAAAAAAAAATATTAGGGGACTATAATATAATCTGCAGAGAAAGATATACACACAGCTGAGCGAGAAAAGTTTACATAAAGGAAAATAAAGAGAAGATGCGCGTCGTAAGTGTAGCGTGTACTTGCGAACGAAGGCTGTATAAAGGGGCTGTCGAGCCGGCTGACATATATATACGCATTGCTCTCACTGTATCAAGCGAAATGGAGTGCTAGAGCGCATACGTGTTTACTATATTTATACAGAAAAAGGAGACAGACAACTCGGCTCGACGGATGGGGCTGTAGAGAGAGACGACTCCTCGACACCCCCGCGCGAGTATTCGACGTCTGCAGAGACGGCATACGACACATCAAAGGGCAACGCGCTTATAAATTTGAGGGTATGTATAAATCTTTGATGCTCCGTACTTGTATCCGAAAAGCCGCTTACAAAATCATACCGAACGTTTCTTGGTAAAAATTATCAGAATCGCGTTTCAACTTTCATAGCAATCTCATAGCAATTTTTGTATCATCTCATCAGCGTGCTTTGGATAACAAGGATTCGTTTATTTTTCATTTGTTAAAAAGTTTCGTGAGTAAAGCCTTTGACACTTAACGCAGCACTATATTATTATATCAGTATACAATTAAATTTAAAATTATACAAATATTTTGATTAAATTTAAACTTATACAAATATTTTGACTTCGCCACTTGCAGATTTATGTAGAAAATGGTACTCGCTATCTATCGGTGGAGACCTAAAGTTGTGCTATCGTATTGAAATCGCAGTTGATAACTTTTCTACATACAGTTGTCGTGAATTTCAACAAATTTTAAATGATCATTTTTGATCATTAACGTATTATTAATAATGATGAGAACTTCTACGCAGTACAACGCGTGTACGCTTACAAACGAGAAAACGGCGAAAGCTCACATTTGCGCTTGTCTTTCGTTACATTCTACTTGAACCGTGTCTCCGATACAATACAGCCAGATGCAAGGTGCGCGCCGCCTTTGCGAATATACATGCGAAGAAAAAAGAGTGGCAATACTCTTAAGTGGCCCTCGTGTTGCCCAGGAGACAGCTCCGACTCTGTTGCTGCTGCTGCTATACAGTGGCAGTAACAGCAATTCGGTGTCTTATATGCTACAATAGTGTAGTAGATTCTTTGTCGTACGCCGCCGCCGCCGAGTGGTCGAATACGAAAGTCCGATCTCGCTCTGTGCATCCAGCATATATACACTGTATATATGCACATCGAAGTACACACGATCAGTTCGTCTCTCTCTCTCGTCGTCGTGCGACAACGTCTATTTATATACAAGGGCTGAGCTTGCGAATTTCTATGGTGTTTTGTCAAGACGAAATGGAAATATACCCTGCCAATCGAGCTCGTACAGCTCGAAAGCTTTTTTATACGTGGATCCAGAATGTATCTATTTTTTCCGTTCGTTCGTCAATCTGTATTGAGATACGGATCGCGTCGACAACCCTTCGCGTCTCGTGCGCTACAAATTGAAAGTAGAATGGCGCATATAATATATAGATCGCGTATACACCCGAGATGAAAAGTGCATACGGCAATTCTCGAATCGATTAATCTCTCTGGCTGAACAAAATCGAGCGGGCGTAAGAGAGAAAATCTCGCGTCGGGCGCACGGCGCTCGAGACTCCGTGTATATTTATAATACACGCACACACCTGTCGCAATCGTTCAAGCCCGCGCGCGCCTGACGCGAGGCCGAAATTACGTTTCGCGCAAGCTGCAGCTATACGGCCGTGTATTACTTATATACCGTATATAAAAAGCTCGATCGCCGATACGTGCGCCGCGCGCGCAACGGGATCGAAAGGCGATCGATTGATTAAAAATGGAAGCTTATTTTGCTCCCCCATTGAAAAATAGCTTGGCTCGCTCGCGCGCCAATGTATAATGTAAGATGTAGTAGCGCAGCGGCATGAAGGCCTCGAGCGCGCGCGCGTACTCCGTTCCCTGCAACAACCCCCCGTATAACTGGATCAATAATACCACCCACTCGTGCTGTACACCCTTGCACATCCGTGGCCGGTACGCTATATACTGACCGGTCGGTGCTGTTGCGTATGGCGCATGCGCCGCCTCATACATCCCTTCTACTGCTGTATACGCTAACGCGCGTCTATCTTTCATATTCACACGCGAGACAGATCTCCGTGTGTATGTGCTTGTATGTGTGTGCTGGTGTCGTATAATATGCGAGCCTGCCTACAGGATGATAAGTACCGAAAACTTGCCTATATACGTATGGGGTGACGGTAAAAAAGTGTTTTTCAGGCCTCCCATTGTAGTCGCCCAGTGCCCCGAGTCGTTACGGCAGCCTCGAGCCTGATAAATTATGCGTGTAAATGCTCTCTTCTCCCATGTATGTAGATGCTCACGAGGCCAACCAACGCCAAGCCCATACCCAAGCCAAGCGCGACTTTGCGAATGGTCCATGTCGCTTCTCGAGATCCAAATGGGGCATACAGCCAAGAATCCTTATCGTATGCGCGCTTATGTATCCCCTCATTTCTCAACTATACAGTACCCACTCTACGATGACTATACGTCTTTATAATGGAAATAAAAGTTGACACATTTGTTCTCCGTCATGCAGATCGTACATGTAGTGCAATTTCGCAAATTGAATTTTTAATTCGTGTACAAGGAGAGATAATTTTTGACCGCATTCGACGAGACTTGGCTGACGAATAAAGTTTCGACCGAAAAATCAGAAGATATACAACGATTTCGATCGTTGAATCACGTGTGGTAAACCAATGCATCGAAGAATTCGTAATTTCGTGTCTCTATTTCGCGAGATAATACTTATCTGTTTATAAAAAAAAGGAGACGAAGAGGCACTGCGCGCACATGTATGTATCGCACGCGTTTGTGCAATTCAACGTTATGTAAATCTTTTATGCGAGACCTCGGAGTTAAGCTTGTTGATTTCTCTCGCACTTGATCTCTGCGCGTCAATGAGCGTGACTCGTTGAATTCTATCGTCGAAGTGTCTCTAAGAAATAAGCAAGATCATTTACATTGAGTTTACTTGAAAATTACTATTATTTATTAGTTAATGAACTAAAAATAAAGACTTGTGATATTTTCGATAAGAAGTGGCAACATTTTAATATTAAAAAGCGTGATGTGAATTGAAAATAGTAATATTCCCGGACATCATATAGTGTAAACAACATGGCAAGTAAATTGAGAAGTTATTTTGCAAAAAAAGAAACTAGAGATTACTTTATGAGGTGCGTGCTTCATTTAATAAAAGTATTTCAAAAGTTAAACAAACACCACATCATTGATTAAAATTTCATTTAGCACGCACTTTTGGGGTCCTTTTTGTAATTGGACAATACCAATAGCAGCAATATCGGACACACAAAAAGATCCAAAATTCATTAGCGGGACAATGACAACAGGTAAGGTTTGCAAATAAATAAGAAAAATCTAAAGCCGTAATTTAACATTTTAATTGTTTGCAGCTCTTTCGTTTTATTCAATGGCATTCTTGAGATTTTCAGTAAAAGTTCAACCGAAGAATATGCTATTGTTTGCTTGTCACGTTGTGAATCTAAGTGCACAGTTGACACAAGGATTCAGACTTTTGAAGTATAAGTATTCTTTAAAATCGTCGTAGGAAACAAAGAATAACATATTACTTCATTATAAGAATCAAAAAAATACAAAATTGAACGAAACAACAAGGAATCGCATTTGTAACTTATAAAGCATGTTTCTCTCTTAAAAAAATAATGGCATGATTGTGCCATCGAAATAAACATGTTGCAATTGGTCGTGACCATCTTTATGTTGAGAATGAGTTTAAAATTCATAATATTGTAATGTCTTTTTAGTCATTTGCATATTATATGCATATTATATGCAAATGTCATTATAGATTGTGAGTGCAAAGAGCATTGAATAGAGGATATAGTATAAATCGATCATAGGTAAAATTGTTATAATTTTTGGAATTGAGAGCTAGCACGCTTGTAATCACGAATTATAGTCACGCAAATTGCGTTGGAAAGGGCGCATATATTATAAGAATATTAAAATTGATTCAAATCATGTAGTATAGTTGCAATAAATCTTTAAATTAGATTTTTGAACAAATACACTTGATCATACGTTAAGAATCGGATACAATTTAACATAAATGTGATACATTTATCAGGTCGAAATGCGTAAGTGATGCGCCATATCGACATGCTTTTTCAGTTTATTTTTTTTGTGAAAACTTTTTTCCGCATGTATCACATGTATGGGTGATACCTGGATGCGTCGATCGAACATGCCTATTCAGATGAATCTTATAATTAAACGTCTTTTTGCATAGATCACATGCATGTGTCACGCCATTGTGCTTTGCATTTATGTGAACTTTGAGATAACCCTTCTGTACGAATGTCTTTCCACATATTCGACATGCATGGGTCATATCTTAATGCACCGCGTTTTGAGCTTTGAGATTTCCTTTTCGTGAAAATGACTTTCCGCGTTTATCGCACGTGTATTTGGTACCCTTGTGCAACGCATCTATGTGGTACTTGAGGTAGTTCTTATTTGTGAATTTCTTTTGGCATAGATCACATGTATGTTTTATACCCATATGCGACGATTCGATATGCCTTCTGAGATTACCTTTTTGAGTAAATGACTTTCCGCATGTATCACACGTGTATTTGACACCCTTGTGCAACGTATCTATGTGGTACTTGAGGCAGTCCTTATTTGCGAATGACTTTCCGCATAAATCACATGATAGTGTGACACCATCGTGCACTGATTGAATATGCCTTCTGAGTTTACCTTTTTGAGTAAAAGACTTTCCACATGTATCACATGTGTGGGTGATACATTCATGTATTGTCTCGAAGTGGACTTTGAGACTGCATTTGTGTAGGAATATCTTTCCGCAAGTATCACATGTATAGGTGACACCATTGTGCACTGAATCGATGTGAGTGCGGAGTTGACTCTTATATATGAATTTCTTTTGACATAGATCACATGCGTGGGTGATTTTATGATGAACCGAATCGATGTGGGATTTCAGATTGCTCTTCTTCGAGAATTTCTTGTTACATATTTTGCATTCTTTGTCGCTACCACTACGCGTCGTTTCGTTGTGCATTTTGAGTCTATGTTGATCATTAAACTTTGCATCGCTCGCAAATGATTCTAATTTTACTGCTCCGGCAGTTTCTACTTTAATTATATTTTCAGCTTGATGGCCATTTCTATCATCCATACCCTCCAAGTAATTTTGAGGCCAATTTTCAATTTTCATTACTCCTAATAGATCCACATTCAACTTAACGTCTTTGCTTTCAAACTCAATTTCCAAATCGTTGAGTTCACCATTTTCGTCAAATTTTTCCAGCTTATGTAGCTGAATAAGAAATATGCAAAATTTGTTTATGAATACATAATTATCATATGAATAGTATGCAATCATCATATCTTACCGGTTTTTCTTGCGGAGATCCGAAGAATTCAAAAATATCGGGTGTCTTGTCAATTATATTATAATCAATTTCAGTGAGCGACACTTCAACCGGTTCCTCCTTCACTCTGAGTTATTTGAAAAACGATTGAGTATCATGTTTTAAAATTTTCACACTACGATTGAAATAAAATAAAAATTACCTGACAGGACAGTTAAATGTATTACTAGATTCCATCTTACGGGCTTACAGCTTTCGTAACGACTAATTTTTCTGGTATAATCTTACTACACATCGAGTTAACTAACTTTGATAATATTTACAAATGTAATGAAAATTAAGTCAAACTAATGTAAACAGTAAGGCATTACAATGTATTATTGAAGAAATAATATCATCGGAACGGCCTAATGAGCAATAATCATTTTCTCGTAACTAATATTTTATAAGAAAGAAATTTTAAAATGTTTAAAAATGATTATTCGGCTTGCTAAGCTACAGATTGTCCTACTGACTTTAACATCACAAAGTTAGTTTATGATGGATTTATAGAGCTGTGCGATTTCAGTTTGTTGTACACCGCGAAACGTGCGGTATTTTTCTGAAATCAAAATACGCCATAAATTATACTGAAAATCACTTCTTTCCTAACGAATTTTAATATTTATTTATTTAATATTTACTATATTGAGTCTAAGGACCCAAGTCCACCATAGCCCACAGGCAGCTAAGTGTACAAGAGCTAGGCAATGCTACTTGTAAAAAATCACGTCCATGTATAGATTCTTCATTCCTTCACTTTATTCATTCTTAGGTAAATTATTTGTAATCTTTCGAAACATTGGGAAGCTACTATTTAAATTTATTTGAATAAATAAAATTAATATCACTGTGCGATTTATTAGTAAACAAGATCTATATTTATTTTGAAGGTGGTTAATTTTCCACTTTTCCCCCTCAACCGAATAAGTAAGTAATGAAATTTATGGAAATATCATTTTTTCAAACTTCTTTTATCGAGAAAAAATCTTTCTTGAAAAAAAGTATATAAAAACACAGAAAATCCATCCAATTTCTTTTCTGAAAAAATACGCCACACATTATTCCGGACTTTTCTCTGCGGGAACAAGTTTCGAATTCGTACAATTGAAATCAGTGACTTGATTGAACATCTCATTTTCCGCGACGCTACACAGAACAAAAACGTATATATAGCCATGCCCCGCGTACGTACGGTACGCGCGCGCGAGCGAGCGACAACGTAAGTGGAATGAAAAAAAAAAAAACGTGTACGTGCAATCGCAAAAATGTGAGACCAGCCCCCCTGCGAATCCGTGTGTGTGCGTATGCGTTCCGCCTGGCTGACGACATGGCTGGCTTTTTCGAATATAAGGAGGCTGCCGCCACGCAGCGAGCACCCAAGTAGCTTTATTTGCCTTTCCCTATGCTGCTGCCGAGCTATATATGCTGTACTGCTGCTCTCTTGCCTTTTCTTATATTCTTTTACAAATTTTCTTCTACTTTTTTCCTGCTGCGACTGCTCTTTTTTCATTTTTGCCAGTGTAATGGAAAATAACTTTTATTCTGTTTTTTTTTGTTAAAAAAAAGCACACGCGACTCGATTCGAAAATTTTTCGCAAGCAGGCCAAATGGCGAGATTCAGCGCTCTTCGCAAAAGTTCACCTCAAACCCCGTACCGAATTTCCATTAAACCCAAAATGCACTGCCTCGTGTGATTCATCGCGGATGCCTCCCACACATGCTTCACGTCTAGTTTTATTCCGTTTCCATGTATATCGAGTTTGTGCCCTCGCTAGAGCTCAAATGAATGTATAAAAGCGAACGATAATTTAACTTGGGACGTGTGCGCGTGTATATGTGTGTGCGAGCTTTGACACTCGTCACACCAATGCCACTGCCTTCGTCGTCTTTTCCTCAATTAAGGGGAAAAACTGACTGACTTTGGGGATGCTGCTTGGCTGCCGCTGGCGGTGACAGGGTTACTTTATGGGCTCTTTCGCGCGCCGATTCGCATGTGCCTGGATAATTCCTTGGACTGCGACTATATAAGCTAAAGCTCGGCAGAGACACGTCCAATCGCGCACACACACGCATACTACGGACTTCCATGGGGACACAGCTCGATGATTATGCTTATTTTATTTCTGAGAGCCCAGTGCTCGTGAGTTTTACGATATACCACGGCATATATCGTTCGCATTACAATACGTCGCAGTTGTAATATAAACTTTACGACGGTCTTTGCGAGTCGTAGAATTTATCCGCGTATATAATTATAAAACAAATTCGGAACTTTTCTTTATCTTATTCTGGAGCGACAAAAAAAAAGGGCAGAAATAAAAATAAATAAAAGTATTTGCGATGGATAGAAAAGTCATGCAGATGGAAGAAAAGCTTAGGTATATATAGGCAAGCACGTATATATGTAAGTCCGCTGCGCGCGCGCGCGGGTGCACAAAGAAAACGAGAAAGAGAGCGAGCAAAGCGAGAAAGCCTCGAAATCGTATTCCATATTATGCGAAAGCCCAGTGAATACGACGCTCGGAGTTCTCTCGGCCGGCCAAAGCCTCGCAGAGCACATCTAAAAGGGAGAAATAAAGTGGAATACTGCTACGGATCTCCTCCAGCAGCAGCGGCAGCAGCCCAGCACACCCACCCCGCCGCAGGCTCAGACGTTGCTAGCTAGCTATATATATGTATCTTGTGTACTGGACTTGCATATATACATGCTACACACTATAAAAGCCGTCGTCCCCTGGCCGGCGCTGAATATAAATATAAACGACCTTATTAGGCTGGAAGGCGAAACGACGATATACATGTATAGAGGTAGTATATATATGTACGAGGAAAAGAAAATGTCGCAGCTTTGCATTTTTTTTCTACCGCCGCGTTGAGACGAGTAATACGTAAAATCCGCACTTTCCGCGGACGAGATGGAATTGACGTCAGATCGCTCGACGTATCGGTAGTGTATATAAACTTCTGAACTCGAGTATAAGTCCGCAGAAGTATAATGTGTGTAGAGAGCTTATACCAGGCCGCGCGCTCAGATGCATAAAAAGTTGAAATCAAGATAATTCACGAAACGACCGATTACAAGCCTATCCGCGAACGCACGAGATTCTAAAAATAATTCTCAATCTCTCTCTCTCGTTACGCGAATCAATCTCGCCGCGATGTACGCACGACGAGGCCGCAATCATGCAAAATTCAACGATTCCTCGACGCGCCTCTCGCTCGTGTGCAGCCGATCGACCGCTGCGGCTCGACCATACTACGACTACTACCGCAGATAAGCCAATAAGACAAGGTGCATAATTTTTTCCGCGCTCGGTGTGTTTTCTATATATAAAAAGAGGCTGCTGCTGCTGCTACTGCAAACAAGAAAAAAAAGAGGAAGCGAGAGAGAGAGAGACAGAGACGGAGGCAAGCAAGTCCTTCGGGACTGATTTCACAAACAAATGCCGACGATTGAATCCTGGCAAGTAGCAAGATGGATCGCTCTCTTTGAATCGCAGATTACCCGCCCTGCTCGCCTTCGATTTAACCTCCTTTCCTTCTCTTTCTCTGTTTTACGTATATATATATAAAGTGCACACATGCACACGCGCGCAAGGCCTCGCGAGATCGACAATTTGCCACATGCCTCTCTCTCTCTCTCTTTCTCTCAGACTTCGAGTTCTCTCTCTCTCTTTCTCTAAAATTAAGGGGACGCATGTCTCGAAATTTTATCTTTCTTTTCGGTGATACGAGATCTCATTGTGGAGCTTTCCAGACTCTGTTTGTTCAACGTGGGTTTACGTATATCTAAATTGTTCAATATTGACCGTTGCTACCGATACTGTCTATACTTTACAAACTGTTTCGAGCAAATAAAGTCAATATCCCGATTTCTCTAATGTATTATTTCTTCAATTCATTTATTTTTAAACAGAATTGTGGGAGATAACGTAGCTTCGTAAAGAAATTATAAAAAAATCATTATTACAAATCATACATTAACTTCCATTACTAATAAATTGGAACATTTAAAATTACAATCAACAATAATTATAAATATGTCAAACAACAATTGAGAAATTCTGAATAAACGGCGCAAATAACGAAAGCTAAATGAACTGTTAAGAGATACTTTGGACTGTAAAAGTAGGCATATATAGATTCGAGGGTCGTCGCGATTCTTTTTTGGAGTACGTCCCCCAACGTATATGACATACGCGCACAAAATGTAAGAAAAATATTTTCCATTTGCTTCACGATCTTTAAATTAAGTGAACTGGCTTATGACGCCCGTGTAAAGTCACCACGACAGAATTTCTTTTACATGAAGTGAAATGAAGTGAAAACACGCATTGTGGTCGCTTTGAGGGATCTCATACGATAACTTTGTGACCAATTTCATAAGAGAATAAATTTTCAAGATTCCATAGGGTCCGAAAAATGCAAACTCAGATTGGACCCCTTAACATTTTTCAAATGCATGAATGAAAATACATCTCTATGAAAAATATTGGTTTGTAAAATGAACATTTTATTTGGACAGAGCACTAAAATTTTTTGTTTAAAATATTGATGATTATAAGTAAACAATACTTGTGATCAACAGTTTTCGATTCAAGAAGGGATTAGCACAAACTATTGCTTCCTCTATTAAACTGTTTACATGTAAAGAAATTCAATGCATAAAATCTAATTTAATAATCAGCGTGGTTTTAATAAAAAAAAATCTAAGATGAAAATGTTTAAATGATAAAAATATCACTCAAATACTGCCCTTATGTAAATGTTAAAATGCTCTGATAAAATTGTTAAAATATAGAAAAGCTGTAGAGAATTCAATTTTTAATTGAACACAAGTTATTAAAGGGTACAGTGGGAGCGTAATAATAATCAAAAATCTCGCGACAAAGATTAAGTAACATACATCTAGCTAAACTAGGTTGTGGTAGTACTTCAGCTACTTTATCCATCATGTTAACAACCATTTGTAATAAATCTTTATCAATCCTATATTGTCCAGAAATAATTCTATCCCTTAATGGTTCGATTGTACCTAAAAAACCAACTTCTGTAAGATACGTTAATTGCTCAAATTTCATTTTATGAGCCATGAATTCCTGATCTACACCTGGGTACATAAGAGAAGGCCAATCTTCCTCACAAGCAATACATTTGCACACAAAAGCTTCATTACATTGTCTTCTAAATGTTAGAGAGTAATCGTAAAACCAGACAGTGTATGAATCAAAAAGCTGTAAATAAATTTAAGAACATGTACAGATAATTCAAAAAATATTTATAACCATGAATATTAATAAATACCTGTGTTCCACTAGCAATTGGTTCCAAGGCATAATAAACATATTTCATATCATCTGTAATAAATCTTTTAATATTTGGTGCACAACTGTGATTAATCATACTGCTGATAAGTCCTATGCTAGATCCTTTAGTTTTGGTATCTTTTTTAGTTAAGAAAGTATTAGGTTCTGATGGATTGTTTGACACAGGTAAGTTCAAAAACTAATGATTAAAAACAAAAAAATGTAAAAGTAGATTAAAATTTTATATGTAAATAAATTCAATATAAAAAAAATTTTTTTCTTACGGTATGACTATTAACAGCACATATTTTCACCAATCTCAAAAGCAAAGATCCAATAAAAAGAAAATCTTCATTTTTTGAAAAATCATCATGTTGCTTTACTTTTAATATTGTAGAAAAGAAAGACGCAGACTTCACTAGGATAAACAATGATGGACAGGTGTGCATTGTTAACATATCCATTATATTCTTTGGTAATTCATGAGATAAACTCATCAGTTTATTGAATAAAGTAATTATTGGTTTAGCTTCATCATTTACTATTCCAACTGAAAACAATGAAATAAAACCCAGATGAATTGAATTACTTTAGAAAATTTAAATAATATTTTAAGTTATATTTACCTTGATTATTTTTGGAAATTTTAAATTTCGATTTAAGCTTGTCAATCGTTTCATAGTCTTTCATCAACATTATTATAATTTTAAGACTCATGTGAACATATTCGGGAATTCCTGGGTCACATATAATAAGATATGGTGTTATAGAACATTCAATGTGATGATAATCTTTCCAGGCTGTATTTTTACATTTTGAAGAACAAAAAATATAATCATGGCATTTTTCGCATGGAATTCCATTCCATGCAACTTTAAGACAGTGCGAGCAGAATGCATAATTATAAAAATGGGACCCAATTAAACATGATTGTTCTACTAATACTAAATCTCCAGTTTTAAAATCAGTTTTGGCAAACAGGCCTCTGCCCATATTTTTTGCTAATTTTATTTCAACAAAATCAAACGGATCAACTTTTTCTTTCTCTGTAACAATTTTATTGAACTCTTCTTTTTCATGCAATAATTTATCATTGGTTGGTTCATATCGCTTCTTTGATGCAACTTCAGATTTTGTTTTCTCAATAATAATTGATGTGAGGGTTGTATCTTCTATAGATAATTTTGATTTTCTAAAAATTTGATCCATCTGTTCCATTACATCATCTTTTGTCGAGGAGCCAAGCGCAGCAAGGCATTTGACTTTTTGGCAGTACAGTTTCAATTTCATCTTGTCTGAATTTGTCAATTGTAAGGCTCTATCTACGCTACTGATAGCCTCATTATATTTATTGAGATGCATTAAGAAAAATGCTTTATTACTATAAGCATACATCAGTTCTTCAGATTCACTGGGAGCATAAGCTATACTCTTGTTATAAAAATGTGTAATCATTAGATGATCTTCAGTTGTATGCTTTTTCTTGATATAAATGGCATTCCCTTCTTTTCGGGCTCTAATAGATTCTTCTACACTTTTCACTTGATAATTTAATTTTACAGATAAGTTTAGCAAGTGAAACAAAGAATCTTTTATCTTAGGTCGAGACAAAAAGTCAATTATAGCTGTACGTTCAGCTTCCATGATGCAGTTAATCTAAATTAATAAATAAGTGATAAATTCATGAATAACTTGAGGATTATTCAAAATCAATTTTATCTCATCAAGGATGATGAAAACTAGTCTAATTTGAGGGTAAGATATATTAAACCAACTGCCAAGTAGTACACTAGGATGTCCAACACTCACTAATCACTACTTGTCGGGCAACGATCGTATTGTAACAGCTATGCCACCAGAAAGACTTCGTTATATACGCGCATTGACCTGCTCACAGTGATCTCAAACTCGCAGGTTTTCCCGGTAAGAACAGATTCCTTTGTTTGTTCGCGCGCCGCAACTGCAAACAGCAAGTGCCACCGCGGCCCGCGCGCTTTATGCCTTGCGAATGTATTTTTGCGATGCTTTCGTTGGCAATACTTTCGAATGACATAGGTTAACTCACGGACGGTTGCGCGTAAATCGCGTTTTTTCGAGATCTTTTAACGAATAATAACACCATCAATGTTTTAATTCACATGTTTACATGTTTATTATTACGCAATTTTTGTACTGGACACAAAGATCCTCAATCTCGATTTTATAAATTTTATGTTTCAATCAAAATCCCAAGTGTAACATAAATTAGCATTCATACCTATAAAAACAGGAATAATCACATTTCTTCGAGAAAAGTCTTTGACAATGTATTGGCATCAATTTTTTTTCTTTTTATAAAGAAAAGATTAACAGCTTCTCTCATAGGTAGACGAGTGTAACGCGAAGATAAGACGTATCTTCCGAGGCACGCATCACTTTTTGCTTCCTCGTTTCTTTTTTTTTACTATTGGCTGTACGTCCAGCCCCCCGACATCGGAGATTATATTACCGCGTCCACGCAATGCCGGGCGCACTTTTACTATTGGCAATTCCAGTCGAGAGAAGCTGCGATCGTGGATTAAATTCACCCCACTTTGAATTTCTTCCACTTGGATTAAGTATTATTTCGTCCTAAAATATGCACCGGTACCTGTCACGGCTATTCGCTGGACGATGCTTTGATCAGAATTTACGCTTGAAGAGTGTGTAGAGACCTACCCCCCGTATACTATAATGCTCCACGATAAAACCAAGAGGCCAATGAATCAATCCAATGAATTCAAAATCCAACCGCTTGAAAAAAAAAAATAGTTCACGCGAACGTTAAATCTAAATCTTCAACCACTATCCAGATATCTCGCAATCATATTATTACTTTTGTAAAAACAAAGGAAATACACTCGGCCGCTTGAATTTCGCATTCGGAACAATGACAACCACTATACGGGATACTTTATGACCCGTAACGCGCACGCATACAATTTCCTTCATTTTTCGCGTACAATACACATAGCAGCAGCAGCGCACACATTTATTGAGAGAGTCGCTCTCTCTCTCTCTCTCTCTCTATACACCCCCGCATATCGTGTTTACGCGCGCGTGTGCTGCGAAATTCTTTTTCTCCCTACATATAACAGCAAGTTCGATATCGCCTCTGACCGCGCGTCTAATATATTAGGGTTATAGTGCACTGAAAAGTCTATATCCCATGTGCTGTAAGCGTGCGTGTGCGCCTTGGACTATGACCAGTGCCGCGCGGCGCGTTATACGCTGCGTATATGTACGACGAATACTGCATAAATCATCGAGGGTGTGATCTTAAAATTTATACGGTTCTACTAAGAGAAACCATTGGCTCTCTCTCTCGTTCTCGCTCTCCTTTTCTCTCTCTGCATAAGATGTCCTGCTGGGTTGTACTTCAAGTATGAAATTAAATTACATTATTTTCAGACTCGTATCGGCATGTAACTTGCGCTTTTTTTCTATATAATGTATTACTTCTTCTTCCTGTGATGCGTCAATATTATTGTCATGACGGTTTGTTGTTTGATCATTGATTGTTTGATAAAAAAGAATTTCACGTTATTACCTTTGGCCAATTATATTTAAACGTCACTTATAAGATCAAGTTTATACATCATTCAAAGATCAAAAAAAAAAGAAATAGCCTATCGCTGCTAAGTTTCCTCTCCCCCTATACGTTTAGCTTAGCTGGCGCGCGAAGCTTATTTCGTATGAAAAAACTCTGATGCGAAATTCAAGCGGCTATATAAGTTTATCGACATGCAAGCACCACTAGGCTCTTTTCGGACGCTACGTGTATGTGTGCGAGAGGGGAATTGCGCAGTATAAGCCGTATTTGAACTGTCAATTCAAACCGCTCGCTTCTTTTCTCGAATATGAACTGAATAATGGAAGTGTCTGCCGTGTACTACACGAGAGAGAGAGAGAGAGAGAGAGAGAGAAAAAGAGGATGAGATAGAAGTTGCTTTTTGGATATTCACGCGCTCGCGCAGATCGCCGAGGCCCTCTTGAATTTTCCTGTAACAGCAAAGCCGATCTTATACCGAGATAAAAAAGAGGCTTTTTCATCCAAGCGCGGACCTGCTATCTACAATAGCGGCTGCTGCTGCGATGTGTATACGTTATATTTTATATGTAAGCGCGAGAGAGAAAGAGAGGGGTTCCGCGCGATCTATAAGTTTGAAGGATATTTTTTATTCATGTGACCGGTTCGAGGGCGTGGAAGAAAATACATTTCTGCCAATCTTATATACGTATAAGCCCGTCCGTACGTACATATATATGCGGATAGATCGCTCGGGATGCGGTGAATTCATCCGACTGCGAGCATCTCCATTATAGAGATGAGGAAAGAGACGCGCGCGACAACCACGACGATCCTCGGCTCGAGCTTTCAACATTAAAAAAAGAAGATAAAATCCATACTCCCGATTCGCGAAAATATCAAAGTTGAATGCACGCTCGGGTATGTATAGATAAGCGACACAAAGTGTAATTAAATTTCATAACGAAGTTGCGCGCGTGTTGCTTTTGATATGTTTGATCAATCGGTACAAGGAATCACTAAGGACCAAAGGGTGGCGAGCTTTCTTATACTTCGCATGATTATTATTATTATTATTATTATTGTTATTATCAGTTTTACCCAAGTAAAACTTTACCCCTCGCTCGCTCGCCAACGACGACGACGCCATGCACGAGAAAATGTGTGTACGAGAGGCGATAATAATTATTACATATAGAAAAGAATAAACTCTGGCGACTACTGCGTATACTGCTGTGCTGTCGCTTGCGCGCGCCCGCGTGAAGAAAACGGAAAACGCCTGCGAAAGCTGCGCTACTATAGGGAAAGAATCAGCAGCAGCAGCAGCAGCCAAAGGGACAAACAAGCACGTTTTGCAGGCCTTGCAGATCGATATTTTGGCTCTCTTTCTTTCTCCTAGACACGAGAGTATTCGCAGACTCTCGCATGATTTATACTATGTATGCTGAATGTGAAGGAGCCTTGAGTCAAGTTTCATACCAGCAGCAGCGGCAGCTCCACGTGCGAGAGTTAGAGGTGCTGCGCGACACACAAGATTTATACGGGACTTTCAAAAGTTAGATTATTATACTTGCCGAGCTTGTATTGGATTTTCGTCCTCTCTGTGTGTATGTGTGTCTATATGTCTGCACGACGGCAACTTGACTTTTTTTCGAAACTTTATGTCATTATAAAAGTTATTTTATTCTTTCAAGACTCTCACGAGGAAATTTGAACGGATCTTTTATGAATTTTTATTGCAGCTGATTCGAATTATTTTAAGAAGTAAAAAAATGACGCTGAAAATTTTTAAATCGATTCTATGCATCATAATAATTAGACAATTTTTTGGGGTACAGTATTATGTAAAAATTTTCCTATTATTCGGATCTCTACTCAAGTTGCTATGAAGCACAAGATTTTTTTGCTCGATATATCATTGCATCAAATTAAAACAATTATAATTAAATTACAATTATAATTATTCAAAAAGCAATTTTGAATAATTACAATTAATTATTACAATTATAATTTATTAGCAGAGATTCGTTCGACATACGAAATAAGCTTGTAAGGCGCTGTAATCATAGAATGAAAATTTATAAACTAGTTGTATACAGTTGCCAATGTTTTTCGGGTATCAATAACGACAGTGAGTAATCTGCCCAGCCAAAGAGTGTGTTTACCTATTTGGTATTCAAAATATGAAATAAAGAAAGTCGTGCGTAAACAGTAGCTCGTCTTCTCGTGCTCGAGAAGAAAATTAAAAAAAAGTGTAAAATTGCGTGAAAGCTACGCTTACGGACAAGATGGTCAAAGTCGAGAGTGACTCGAAAGAGTTGATGATAAAGACTTACGACAGCTTGAAAAAAGCATGGCTGTCCGATCATCCGACCAAGGGCATCGACCAGGACTTCATCGTCAGGCACATAATCTGGATCCTGAAACGAGCCATAGATCACGACGACTACGACGTGTGTCGCTCCATCATCGTGCAGCAGGTGTCGAGGGTGCGCGCCAGGGACCAGTGGGGCAACACTCCGGTGCACTACGCGGCCCGCGAGAGGAACCCCATGGCCCTGCAGTACCTCTTCCGCATCTACGACGGCGCGCAGAACTTCGAGGGCCAGCGCGAGCTCACCCACTTTCACGCGGCCTGCGCCTCGGGCCAGCATCTCGTGGTGCAGACCTTCGTCCGGCTGGGCGTCGACGTGAACAGGCCGTGCATCGACTTGGAACGATTTCCCATACTGCTGGCGGTCAGATACTACCTGGACTATCTGCCGGACATGGAGAAGGCGGCGGAGCCCCTGGAGATACTGCTGCTGGGCGGCACCAAGAGGCTGCGCAAAAACGCCCTGAAGGTCGTGCAGATACTGATGCAGAACGGCGCGGACCCGAGCGTCAAGGACCACGAGGGCCGCACGCTGCTCTGGAAGTGCATCGTACAGGACTCGCCGGAGCTGCTGAGGGTCTGCCTGCTGCACGGCCTGGATCCGAATCTGCCGGTGGACGAGACCGGGGACTACGGGCTGCATCTGGCGGTGGCGCTCGAGCGCTTCGAGCTGGCCGAGCTGCTCATCAAGCACGGCGCCGACATGTCCGTGTTGTACGGCCGTTTGCCCTTGTACGCGATCTACAAAAACGTCGAGAGAGACAGCGAGGAGTCGAGGCTCGTCGTCGAGTTGATCCTTCGGAGAGGCCACGATCCGAACGTTCACCATCACCAGGGACTGAATCTCGTGCACTGGGCGATCATCAAGCGCAAGCCGCGGATGCTCGAGCTGCTGCTGTCGCTGGGCGCCGACCCGAACTATTCGGCCGCCAACAACATGACTCCTCTGCAGGTGTGCGTTGCGACCGGCCACTACGAACTCATGGAGACTCTGTTGAGCTACAAGGCCGACCCGAACGTGACCAACGTCGACGGGATACCCATACCGATCAGCTTCGCCGTGACCGGTCATATCCAGGTTACCGGCCTGCTGGTCGAGTACAAGGCCGACCTGAACAGACGGGACTTTTTCGACCAGACGGCGCTTCACAGCGTCTTTCGATGCGGCATCAATCTGCCCTACATAATCGGTATGCTGCTCGAGGGTGGCGCCGATCCGAATCTCACCGACGTGTGGGGTAAGACGCCGCTGCATTACGCCGCGGCGCTCGAGCGCCTGGACGCGGTCGAGCTTCTGCTGAGCTACGGCGCCAATCCCGACGTGCTCGACCGCGACAAAAGGACGCCGCTGTATTACGCTTCCGCCGCGAGGAATGGACACGTGGCCGATGCGCTTATTTATCGAGGACGCGCAAATATGTTACTGGGCGAGAGTTTTAAGCGTTGCAGGAGCCCCTCGGACGACGAAGCGAGTGAAGATGAAACGAATGAAAATGAAGTGAATGAAAATAAAGCAAATAAAAATGCAGCTAATGAAAATGCAGCGAATGAAAATGTAGTGAATGGAAATTGAGTGAATGAAAATGAAGAAAATGAAATTCAATGAATTTTCTATGACGAAATTTATCTTTGAAAGAAAGTCGCACTTGAAATTCGTACTTTTTAATCATCGCGGACGATGAGAAATTGTTTGAAAATTATAATAGAAAGTTGTTACGGCAAAAAAATAATCGTATCAAATGCTCGTACATACACTGAGAAAAAAAATCATTGATTCAATGAAAATTTAATTAAATGCAATCTATGAAATAATTCTATTGAAATAATCTTTTTTTATTTCATCCAACAAAATATTTAGTTGTTTTTACCAAAATTTGATGAAACTAAAGAAAAAAAAGATTATTTCAATGAAATTATTTCATATATTGTATGTAATTAAATTTTCATTGAATCAATGAATTTTTTTTTCTCAGTGTATAGCTAACGAACCTTCGATGAAAAGTGCCGCAAAATTAGTTTTTGTGCCACCCCAACCTAAAGTAACATTTTACTCCCGCTGAGCGAAATGAAAATGTTACTTTAGGCTGAGGGACTCACAAAAAATTGTATTTGCATCTATTTAGCGAAAAAAGAAAGTCTCAGAGCACGTGCTTATCAACCTCGGCTTCGCCTCGGATGATAAATTCCAGTTTTTCACTCCCTAGGTGCAAAATATACTATTTATCACTATTGACCACATGATCAATTATCATCAAATTGAAAGAAATTGTATAGCAGTATGAACTGTTAAATTGTACATATGATACCCTTGACCACCGTTAAACAAACATGTAAATAAAAGTATGTCGAGATTACTTTACTATTTTTATACAAAATTTGTATTATTAGTGCTGAATTCATGTTACTTTTGAATCGAATTCATTTTATTTATTTATATTAAATAAAGCATAGAACATAGAAAAAGCTATCTTTTTTTATTCGAGATGCAGGAAACATTCGCCCGAGGGTGTTTTAAAAACAATGAAACAGCCGTAACTGTCTCGTATTTTACAGCTAAAAAAGGCGTGCGACGAGGCCTCGACACGCACACACGACACGACGCGGAGCTTACACGAGAGCTCCGGGCGCAGCAGAAGCTCGATCTTTATTACCGGCCCTCGCAATATACACACGTAGAAGCCGGCTGGCTGCTGGCGTGTCGTCGCGCAGCCTTGATGTCTTATGCTTCGAGTCAGCACGCGCAATTGGTATTCCGAAGCGTCGCGTCAAGTCACGACGGCTTTCAGCACCCTCCGAGCAGCACTAGCAGCAGTAGCAGCAGCAGCATCCCTCTATATTATATATAAAACATCGCATGCATAAGAGCTTGAGCGAAAGAGAATACGTGATTCGGAGCTTCGACCGACGAGCCCAGTATTGTATTATTTTAAAGATGCGCGTCGTGCTCCCTCCCTTCCACTTTCCATCACGCTTCGATGATTCCTCCGTGCGACGTTAACTTTTTTTCTCGCTCGTACGTATTATTTAGTGTACGAAGGATTTTTTCGCGAATTCGATATCTTAGGATATATCAGCGATAGAAATGGCCGTGGAGAAGACGAGCATTGTGTTGTTGACATAGCTGCCCGATGAATTGACACACGAGCACACACATACCGACACATTATACTCGCGCGCGTATTTGATGTTGCCATTGACGTAGTGTATACGAAAATAAGAAACTTTTGACAGCTCAATATAACTATATCTATGAGTGGCCGTATATTTTTTGCTTATATTATTTTTTACAATGTCTATTCTATTAACTTTTTTCTTAAATAAATAGAAATATGCAATGAAGGTACTATCACCGCTTCAACCAGTAACTACTTGTAAAAAAATACTCCTAAATGCACATAACTATTATTAATCTTTAGATTTTAACCCCATTCTACGTCGATTTCTTATGAAACTTACGAGAGAGGCTCGCGTCGCAAATGTGAACTCTGTTTCCGCTTCCGACTTCGTGATTTTCGCTCCGTCAATCTCATTCTTTCTTTTCTTACGCGAATTTCGTACTTTTCTGCTCTCTCTTGCACGAAACTTTTCCATTGTTGATGGATCCCATTGCGAATAAAAAAAAAAGAGAATACGTTTTCTTCGTAAGCGAGTGTTGCTATCAATCTGATTCGTACTGTTGAATTTAATAATTGCATTTCATTATTTTTCATTTATTCAACAACATTTGTCCTAAAGTAATAGTTATGATTCAATAAAACTATAATGTAAATAATTAATATCAAAATTCAAAAAATTCATTTAGGTTTAATTTTTAATCCGTTTTCAATAATAATGGAAATTTGAAAATTTATAAAAAGTTACTGATCAGAGATTTTTACTTCAAAATACAGAAAAATTTTTGAAGAATTATAAAGCATATTCAGAATGGCTAGCAGTATGCCCTCGAAAACAGCAGAAACATTAATCACAGCAACTATTCCTAACGGATTTGTAACACGCAGTCATAACTTTTTTTTAATAACGCGCAGAGCGATAAAAGAATGAAAGTCGAGTTTGAAAGATTTCTTTCCGTCGAGCAAAAAAAAGGGGGAAAAAGACCGAAAAAATCGAAATCTGCTGGCTATGAAATTACACGAGACAATCCCAAGAGAGATGGAAATGCAAACGCGTATATGCGAGAGGGAGAGAGAGAGAGAAAGAGAGAGGAGAAACCGATGACTCTCCGTACGCGTAGGAATATAAATCGTTCCTTTGAGGATTTTTACCCTAGAACGCGCCAAGTTTGCAATTTTCTCGAGCTTTTTGAGGCCTCGAAAAAGTATTACGTGCAAATCGAAGTTAGTTAATCGAGTTCTCTTATCTAAAACCATTTTGATTATATTTTTAATTTAATAATTCCAATTACTGATTACTCTGTAAGAATAATTAATGGCTACTTGTTAGAAAGACTATAATTGATTATAGCTTTTGTTTAATATTTCTAATATGCAGTTTCTCAAAAAAATTGCATAGTATGTTCAAGTCATTGAAGATCGGTTGATCAATTGTTCATTATAGCAACTCATCGCAACAAATTACTAAATAATACGTTTCAAAAAATTTTTTCTAATATAATTATTTTAAAATAATTCGCCTTTGGAACTTTTGAAAATGTGGACATGTGTTACTGTGCAAAGTATTATCAAGTACTATTTTCAAACATTACGCAAAAATTCTATGTAATTAAATATGCAAAGAGTAATAATTTATTTCATCTTGAATTCAGAAAGTTTATGAAAAATTTTTTAAAATTGCGATTAAAAATAATTTCAAATGCAGGGTAAAAACTTTCCCTATGAGGTTTCCCTCTATAAAACTGTAATAGTAGCGACATCCCTAGGTTAACAAGAGAAACAGAACAGTACAGTTTACTGCTTGGGTAACTTAAGTGTAGGTTTAGTATTTGATTAATAAATTGAATCAAATTTTTACTTATTTTACACTTTTTTGTCATCTTGTAAAAATGTATAAGAATATAATATAATAATTGTTTGAATTTTTTCAAATTTCATTTCTTTTACCTTCCAATGATATTCTATTTTAAGAGATCATTCAAAATGTTTATTAACGCGTTACAGCAAGTTATTTGACATATATAAGAGACAGATTTACTCAAAATATAGTGTTATTCACAATTTTAATTCATGCAAACAAAGCCTACTTTGCAATATTCGCTTAAAATTATCAACACATTTTGCTAAGCTCCCCAGTCGATAAAGTTTGATAGATAAAAATAAACTTCATGAAAAGGAAATAAGAATTGCTTTGTTTGATATAATTACTAAATATAAATAAGTTAATGATTATGTTGGAAAATAAAATTTGTTATTTTTTTTTACAGTTCGCTTGTTCCAATGTAGTTCTTGTGTATGAAACAAATACTCAGCAATTTCAAAAATCAATTAATAACAGTTGGTTTCAAAATACCGACCAACGTAGTTTTTGAATTTCGTTATATCATACAATATTAAGGAAAATAAATATTTGGAGTAATTAAAATTCCTTGGTTGCATTTTAATTAAGCTTATAGTTCTATTTTAAAATTGATTGTTGAATGGGTATATTTATGTAATAATTATAAATTTATGATATTTATAAGGACCATTAGAACTGAAAGTATTCTACCCAAAAGTATAACCGGGTTTCCACATTTTATAGCCTTATAATGAAATATAAGTCAATTTTCATTGAATTTGTTACTAAGATTGTAATTGTAATAAAATTGTCGTTGATCCTTACACGTGGAGATAAATCTAACAACGGTGCGTTTCGATGCCTCTTAGCAGCAAAATACTAGTTGACAGAGCAGAGCAGCATCGTGCCAATTTAATTTTTATTCAGTCCAATGCTACTTTGGCTAGCCTTTCAGCTAGATTCTACTTCAGCATTTCGTTCTGCGGAATACTACTTCGACGTGCTGCGTATAAGGAAAAAATGAGAAGAATCGAAGTTATGCTAAAGATTGCTTGTAATTGTGAAGACAATTTTAAACGGCGCCTGTATAATCTCTAAAGAGTAAAACTGGTACCACTAATGAGCTGTTCGAGATAAAAATGTTGGAATAAAACTCGTTCCGATGAAGCTCTAGGATTCAAAGGAGTAATCTGTAAACATTACACCTTTCCTAAAAGTTATTAACGCCGATTTTTTTTTTTCAAAAATAAACCTAAGTAAGGAAAATAGCAATTTATTCAAATTACTTTTTTCGAAAAAGGGTAATCTGCGATCTTAATTTAAATCTTAGCGCTTCGTCGGAAAAAGTTTCATGACAATATTACTCTATAGAGTAGATTCGAATTAATTATTTTAAGTTTGAAGGGTGTAAAGTTTTAAATTCTCTTCGCTAAGGGTAACCTACAGAAAGGTTTCGATTTTTATTATGCAAAGCACCGAAGTAGCATTGTACTGAAAGAAGCTCCGAGATAGCATTTTGTTGAACCAGCATATAACTTTGTATAGCGTTTATTACTTTTTTACTCAAGCAACAACATAAAACGTGCAAGCTCTTGAGTCGCATGTAAAACTACATTTTTT